AATCCTGGCAACTGCTTCCTATTTTTCCAGATTATTCCAGCCAGCTCTTTTTGTGTTTAGCCTATTGTCAGATGCCGTCACAAAGACTTGGGGTATTAAATCCTATCATCTGTTCAGCCTGTGGAACAGCTGAGTGGGCTGTGCAGTGAATGAGAAGCTGTAGGTACTGCAGAGAAGGGGTATGGTGTGTAGGCGTGTTTGGAGCACATTTAGAATTCATGCCTTTCCCTGGCTGTACTGACTGAATGTAAAAATTTCCTTCCATCTCTCCAGTCACCAGTAATGGGAATGTGCAAATGTGGAGGTCTGATGGCAGAGGGAATGTGAAACAGGCTGGAGTGATGCATGTGGCTGTGGCTGTCTGCATGCTGGTGCTCCAGAGAAGGAGGGCTCTGAGGGCATAATGCCTCTTGCTTAGAGCAAACAGAACGGTAGATTCAGCACTTCAGACTGAGGCCAGAATATAACACATGGACTAAACCAAAATGACAGCTCCCAAGGTCATGAGTATTGAATATATAAGGATTCAGCTTTGAGTTTTGCAGGCTGAGTCCATCTCTAGCAAGCAGAACATGTCTGCCACAAAGGAGCTGGCACTTCTTAGATGCTGGCTGCATGTCATGCTTCCTTCTGCAGCAGAGCTGGTTTAACAGCGTCTGTGAAACCCAAACTCCCTGTCCTGCAGACTGTCTCTCACTAGAGCTGCAGTTCTGCACCATGGTTCTTTGCCAGCAAATTTAGTTTGAGAACTTCCTACTCTGAATGACTTGACTGCCTCCATACTGTGATTATTAAGTATTCTGTGTGATTGTCCTTTAAACTGGATCCATGATACAGCACAAGGTAAAAAAAGCTATTTCCCTCAGTCCCACCTACCCTGTGCCAAGTATTTGTTTTTAAAAATAATGATTTCACAGATCTAATTTGGAGTTGGCACAGCTGAGGGGGCCATAATCAGTGTCTGTAAATTAGGTGACAGGAACTTCTTAAACCAGAGCAGCTGCCAAAGGCATCTTAACATGGAGCTTCTGCTGTAACAAGAGACAGCTTGGCAGGCCAGGATCTGCAGCCAAGTAGCTGACTCCAGGCTTGTGGTTTCCCACCTGGGCACTCAAATCAGCACTCCTTAGGCCCTGCAGCTTTTAGGTGCCTCCATGCTGAGTGGAGCACCCAGGAGCTGGAAAGGTCTTTGAATGTGAGTTGTCAGGAGGAACAAGCTGCTGTGCATTGCACATCTCAGAAGTGAGTGTTGTTTTTAGAGGGCTCAGGCAGGATGGGGAGGGACAGTTTTGTTGCTGGCATATACAGATGTGTTTCCAGCCAGACATTGAGTGTTAGCAGTGCAGAGAAAAATATGTGCTTGGTCTTTCAGTGGGAAACAGCAACAACAAAAAAATCCTTTTTCATTTATTTCAGCTGGGAAGTGGTGCCAGGAGCTGTTGTTTTAGAGAATAAGAACTCTGGTTTTATAACTGTACATGTGAGATACCCCTTTGAATGTGTATCAAGAAAATCTACATAGAAAAAATGCATAGTATAGAAAGTAGGTCTTACTACTGTCACTGTTCAGTGGAAACCAAGTGTGTTGTGGAAATCTTCGAGTGTTTCTTAAAAAAACCCAAACAGAACAGAAACAAACATCTATTTGTGTACAAATGTACCTATTCCTTCTGATTTCATAGCACCCTTTACAGCATGTGCCAGTTTTCCTGGAGTGCCAGAAGAGAAGGAACATCTCCAGAAAATGCTGAGGTTACAACACCCAGAAAAAACCTGCCTGTGCTACCTTTATAAAGATAGTCAGCTTAGCCTGGCAGAGAGCAAATGCACTGGTGAACTTGGGGTGGTTGCCAGACTTCTCTTGCTTCTTTTTATATGATTTACCAAATCCTTAGCTAGCTGGAGGGTGGATATTAAGACAGGCAGCAGCATTGAGAGCTGAGCAGTGGAATGTTGAAAAGTTCTGCTTGGGCAGGAGGTAATTATTGTGATTTTTTTTTGCAGTGACTGCCTTTGGATACCCTAAACCACTGGCTTGAGCTGGTAGGAAGGGCACCTCTGAAAGGATGCTACTGTCCCCTGGGAGTGGGCTGGAATAATGTCCAGTGAGCCCTGAGCACAAAGCTAATGGGTTTGGTTTTGTTGTTTATTAAAGACAGGCTTTTGTGCAGCAGTAACGGAAAATCCTATTTCTGTACCAATAAAAACTTTGCTCCCATGGTTGTTGTTATTGGCAAGCTTAGTCACTTTGGTGTTTATGGAAAAGTATTTACTGGGAAGGACTGGATGGTGAGCAAGCTTCATCTGCTTTCATTTTGCTTTGATGGCACACAAGTTGCTGTGGGACCAAGTTCATCCTTGAACCCCACCCACAGCCCATCCTTCCAGGCTGGCATCCTTCTTCTGCAGCCTGGGCTGCCAGTGCCCTGCTGTTTGCTGTAGCAAGGTGGAACATTGCCTGGGCCTGGCTTGGGCTCTCCTTTCTGCCCTGGGGGCATCAGCTTTGTGTTGGTTCCTGCTTTACCACACAGGATGCTGAAACAATGCACTGTGTGTTCTGCAGCAGTCAGGCTAGACCTAGTTGGCATGTGGGGTATCAGCCAGCTGACAATAACAATTATAAAAGAACTTGAGTGCTGCAGAAGGATTAAAAGAAGCTTCTCTAATAAATGCAATTACACAAACATGCTTGAGCCATGTGTCCTATTTAATTCCTGCCCAAGAAGAGAGGCATTCCTCAGGGCACTGCTTTTGTCTGCGTGAAAGAGATATCCAAGTGCCTCAGGCATCCTATCTCTGAATCCAGAGTGGCTCTTCTGTACCCTGGGTGGCAAGTAAAACCGGGCTTCAGAGTCCTTTTGAGAACATTTACTTCTTTAGGACTGAGTCATTTTTTTTGCCAGGCAGTGACTTGCTAGCTGGCAGGCCCCTGCTGCCATCTAGACCCCCCAAGCAGCTTTCACTGCTGGCTGTGGCTCTGCCTGCACACCCCTTGGTGTTCTGTGTGCCCCTGCTCCGTGGTGAGGAGCCTTTTGCCTACATTCATGCAGTTGTGGAGCTCTCAGTGGGCCTTTGCTGCTTCTGGAGAGTACCTTGATGCCATGAAGGGCAGCAGGCTAAGCACTGTGACAGGCTGTACTTGTTCTCTTGTCAGGGTGATTTTAAATCACACCTTTAATATGTTTTTTTCCACTCCTGCTAGTCAGTGAATTTCCCATCTCTGCCTTTCACATGAGCAGGATTCATGATGGAGAGAACATCCTAAAGGCTGTTCCAGAGCTGCTTGCTATTACTCCAGGCAGCACCCAGGATGTACTTGCTGGAGCTAATGGGTTGGTACCCAAGCTCTGGTAATCAGGACTGTTAGCTGGGAACACACAGCAGCCCCCCAGAGGCAGCTGATGAATGTAGACATTTGTGGGTGTAATAAAATGGGGTCCAGACCCATCCACAGGATTGCTGCTGCTTGGGCACAGCTTTGACTTTGCTTCTCCATGAAGAAGAGTTTGGGCAGGCATAGGGGTGCATCTGTAGGGCTGGGGACAACCTGAGAAGAGCAGGGACTCCCCAGAGATGGCTTTATGTGATGTGAGCAGAGCACCTTTGTGCTGCTCCAAGGTCAGATTGCTCTTAACTTAATAAATGACCGGTGTTAGTGGGCCAGAGAGGTAAAACCTCTTGGTGTTTCTCTTTTATCTCAAAACTCCATGTTCTTCCTTTTAAGGGTATTTAGTGTGAAATCATTGTTCCTTTGTGGAAGCTGAGTTTTTAAGAAAACTATTAAATATTCCAAGGCTCCTGGTAAGGTGCAAGGTAAAGGATTAAATGGTCCAGAAAAGCTGCTCTTTGACTTTCCCAGCTCCTTGCCCCTCAGTGCATACATTCCCTGAGGTATCTCATAAGGTAACTTGCGTGCAGACACCAACTGTTCTCTTGCTTATAAGCACCAAATGTTTAATTCAGTGTGTGCTTGTCAAAGTACATTAAAAATGCAGGTAGCACTTGCTGTGTGTGAGCCAGCTCTTGTAAGTGAAGCACTGTCACAGGATAGTGTTACAGACTTGACACAAATGGAGCCTGCTGGCTCATGGAAGTGTCCTGACTACCTGGAATGTCCTGCCAGGTTGGCATTGCCCTTCTGTCTTCTAAGCACTGCCTTTTCATGGTGATGCTTTAAGCTCCTGAGGAAGTGTGGGGCAGAGAGGATGTGCCATAACTGGTGATTATCTGGTGTGATGTTGCTGCTGTGTGGTTCTCTCTTGGCCACATTCATCTCTCTCCAGTTATATCTCATCCCATATTTAGATCCAGTCCTGAAGATCTCCCTGACATCACTGGGAATATGAAGCCTTGCAGAAACCTCAGCAAGGTTCAGAGCTTTGGTAGAATCACTGGAATAGAGACTGTATTTGAGTGCACAGCACCTTGCACAAATAGGTCCCAATCTCTCAGTTTGGTTCAGCATCCATCTGTGCAGTTTTCTTAAGGGGAATTCATGTGCCATCTGTGAGCACCTTGTTTTTAGAAAGGAGATTCAAATCAATATTTGGCAGCAAGGCTGCATTAGGTAAGGTTGAGGCAATAGTGTGAAATTCAGAAACAGAACTGAAAGGCTGAAAACAGACATTGCTGGGGTATAAGAGAGAAAACAGCTTCGCTCTTGAAAAGTACATTGGGCTTGTACAGCACTGGGAATGCTGGGAACATCAGATGAAGTTCCCAGTGGGCTGCCAGTATGTCTTGTGAAATGGGCAGGGATTAGGACTGGAGGCAGCTGCTCCCTGCCCATCTGCAGGACAAGACCTGTTGTTCCTCATTGCTCACCTGCCCCTGACGTTTCACTTTGTGCTCTTCCTGTCTCGAAAGCTGTAACGATGTGTGTGTCTTGGGCCCTGGCTACCAGTTGCTATAACTACCATTAATGCAGTCGTTGAGGACAGGTCCTGGTTTAGCCTTTTTTTATCAACCAGCCAACTGAATTGTGTTTTCTTGCCTTTCAGTCCTTTCAAGGAAGCCAAGGACGAGCATACCTCTTCAATTCAGTGTGAGTATAATGTCATACGTGTCACCTCTGCATCTCTTGGGGTAGATTTCAGAAAACCCTCATAAGGAAGAAAACAAAAACATGTTCTTCCTTTAGAAAACCTCTGCCTGAACCTTGGGAGTGTGCTGAAAGTGGTTGGAGAAAGGCAGAAAACAGCACTGATTCATATTTGATTTTTTTTCCTTGAGGTTTCATATAAGCTGCTAGGAAAAGGTGGGATTTTCATCATCAGATTGAGAAATAAGCGCTAAGGATGAGTCATTCTCACAGAATTTAATTGGACCAAAGAGTCAAAATTTTGTAAATGTGGCAAATAAAAAATATCTAAATATGAACTTTTTAGAGAGAACATGAAAAGGAAGTATAATTTTCCCAATAACTGAAAATAGTTTTGGTGAGATCACTGCTGGGATGTCTTTCGGAATTGCTGATTTCAGTTACATTTTTCACATTTCCATGTGGGGAAGTGAAAGTACCATTTTATCAATTTGAAAATTAGATCTTTCTCAAATGCATAATTAGTTCATAATCTTCTGGTCAAAGCTTTATATAATTTTTAGTTGGAGAAAAATTCTTTTACCTTTTCATTCCATTTGAGAATTCACAGGAGAACTTTGTTCTGGGCACAGCTGTGATACTCAGTGTCCTGAACCTCCTGCTTAAGTCTTCAAATACTGCAGTAAAATTGCTGTCAGCTTCCTTGTAGCATTTTTGATGTGGAAAGACACACTAATAGGGAGCATCTCTCCTTTTTCCCCAGAGTTAATGTGGGTTGTGGCCCTGCAGAGGAGCGGGTGTTATTAACAGGATTACATGCGGTTGCAGATATTTACTGTGAAAACTGCAAAACCACACTGGGTTGGAAATATGTGAGTATCAGTATCATTTGTTTCTGCTATGGACATCTTTGCTCCAGCCCTTTCTGAAGGTGTGTGCGTGGGTAACGTGGTCTTGTGGAAAAACCTTTAACTCAGGAACAAGAAGTGGGGGTTCTGTTGGGTAACCACAACTTTTTTCCTTCCTGCATTTCCATTTTCCCTTTTTCCCTCCTGTCTTGTGTTCATCCATTCAGAGCATGAGCTTTTGTGGCTAATGTATTTTTTTTTACTAAGAATATACACTGTGGGCCTGGTTCCCTTAGTGATACTTAACACAAATAAGGATAACTTCAGTCAGTCTTTGGGGTTCATATTGTCTTTTTTTCTCCAGACAATATCAGAATAATAGAATGATTGATCTATTGTTAATCCTGTGTCCTTCCCACTGGAAATCCTGTTGAACATGAATTTATCTGTTTGCTGTCTCTCTTCCTCTTCATAAATTCAATTACCTTCAAATAAAGACTTAAGCTACATCCTAATTTCTGCTTCAGGAGGTACACAGTGTACTTGTTTTTTAAACCATTTTGACCAGTGTCTAAACAAAACATTGTATCTGTGGCCTCAGGACAGAAATATTCTTTAATAAATCAGTCGAAAGGCTATAAAAAGTAAAGCATCAAAAATTGATGCAGTAGGAATTCATGCAGAAATACAGCATGAATCTTACAAATGGAGGACACTAAAGTACATAAGTTGAGTTTATTGTAAAACAAAATACAGAATTTCCTAAAAGTAGCAGTAAGCCCAGGACTCTCCAGCAATGGAATTACATTATTTTAGATTCATTCTGTTCATGCAGACAGCACACCTGAGCAGAGCTGAACCTCTTTGAGGATGCAGCCTCAATAATGGGAGTCCCTGCTGGTTTGGGCATCCTTTAGACTTCCCTGCTTCTCCAGCTCTGCCATGTTGAAGCACCATGTGTTTCTGTAGCTACAGCCACAGAAGTCTGTGTGGAGTGGGTCCTTCCCATCCCTCAGTGCCCATTCTCTCCATTTCCACAGGAAATTTGCCATCATCTGTCTTGTCCCTGATGGTAGTAGTGCTTTTACAGCACATTTCATCAAAGGACCTCTGCATTCTTAACAAACATTAATAGATTCTCAGGCCACCCTACAGAGAGGTGGATTTTATCACCAGTGGTTCCTAAAGTGTCATTCAAGGAGCAGTTGCCACTGGCCTACAGAAGGCTGCACTTTTACATGGTGCTGATGGTTCCTTTTTCCAGTCTGTAAAAGCAGCTAGAAGCAGGATTTAAGATTCTTCCAACATATTTTTCCTGAAAGCAAACAGAAGGACCTGCAGTTTGACTGTTTTACTCTGTAGACAAGGCTAATTGTTCCAGCATTGCTGGCTCTGACCTGTAACTGCGACGTTACCAACAGATACCATCTTGATCTCCTTTCTCCTCCCTTTTTTTAGGAACACGCTTTTGAAAGCAGCCAGAAGTATAAAGAAGGCAAATACATCATTGAACTAGCTCACATGATCAAGGATAATGGCTGGGATTGAATGGAAAGAGCCCAGCCCTACCAGCGTGTAAGAAAATGCCATCCAACCGAACATTATATCCAAGAGTGAGAGAGTGACTGAACGCTTGGTTCCATGCATTTAGAGGCTCTGCAATTTGGGAGCATCTTCACACCCTTCTCCATCTTTATTGGTGACTGGCCTCTAAATTTCTGTCTCTCTGTCTCTTTGCTTTGTATCTGTTTGTGAGTTGACCCTGGCTGCTTCTCTCTCTGTTCTGGCGTTGGCTCAGAGAATGCACCGAATGCCCGACAGCCATTCCATGGTGACGAGTGTTTTAAGTACAAACTGAAGCTCAGTGGTGGCATCTTTACCAGAAGGTCTCGGTGCGGGAGGAAGACCCGAGTTTTGGGCAGGAGAAGGTGATAGGGGGTGGGGAGTGGGCCCGAAGGGAAGTCATCAGAAGTCGAAACTGTACTGCTCCTCTTAAGTCCTGGTTAACCAAGGCTTGAAACTATCTACTTGTCTAAATGGACAGAAAAATACCTCATGGCTGCGTTCTCTCCGAATCGTAAAACCACTGCTCCATTGGTGGAGCTTCAGGCTAAGCTGGCTGAGCACAAGTCGTAACCAGTTCCCCCTGCAAGCTAATTGCAAATCTGTGTGTTGTTTGCCATTTATGAACTTGTTGTCTGGGGGGAGGGAGGACCTGAAGGCTGGAGAGATTCCCTGCCTCTCCTTTTTCTCGCTGTTTCAGGGTAGGTAGGCCAAACATCCCAACAGAGCACAGCTGTGGGAGCATCCTCACAGCTGGAGAAACCAAATCCTGACTCTTGAGCCCTTTAGAGAGGAAGAGAAATCTGCTTAAGGCACAATGGGACTGAAGCTGCAGAAGATATGATGGGGGGGGGGGAAAAGGGCTGTGATAGGCAAGAAAGAGGAGATTATGTAGAAGAGGATGGGGACAAACTTAGTAACACAGGGTACCCCTTGATTTCCTGGCCTCCACTGAGCATCCTTGGGGGTCTTTTACCAATCCTTCATAAGTGTGAGTAGGAAAATGCTGTTACACAATCTTTTTCTTGAATCCCAGGCCCCAGCCAACAGCTCTGCCCTTGGAGCCTGGCAGAGGAATGGTGTGAGAGTGTGGAGAGGAGGGAGCCAAGAAGCCTGGTGATTGTAGCAGTATTGCACAGGTGGATATTTCAAGCTATGAGGTATCCTCCCCAAAACCTTTCCCCCCTTTTCCCACGCCCAGAAGCCTGTTGCAGGCACGGGAAGAATGGGAAAGAAAAAAACCAAGCTAAACATCTTTCCCCTATCCCTGAAATTGTCTATGCCTTGGAGTTTAAAAGGGAGGGGTAGATGTGAACATCATAACTACAAGGGGCAAGTCCTTCCCATTTTAATTTTTTCATTTTAATGAGTGTGGACCTTCCCGAGGGGGTTGGTGAGGAGGGGGCATCATGTGAGAGTGGAGCTGCATTAGACATAAATGACAATGTGAAGTTTGCTCTGCAACAGTCCAGCCAGTATCTGGTGCATAACTCAAGACTATTTAACTAACTTAGTTTTATCTCTCTGAGTGAATTTTCTTTTTGTTTGTGGAATTCTTTCAAGTAGGTTAATCCACTGGGGGAAATTGTTCTTAATCCAGAAGGAAAGAGTATTGTGCAGGGGATTGTAACTCCTTATGAAACTGAAGCTTTGGAGCTGTAAGCTGTTGCTGCTTGTCCCACCTCATGATGCTCTTGGTGAGCTGTGGGAATCAGGACACAGTGCTGGTGGTGAGAAGGTAATTAGCTGTTAAATGAAGGGGATGTGAGCAAAGTTGCTACTTACAGGTCAGGGGGGACCTTACGTGTTGGGTTCTTGTGCTGAAACCCAAACCTGATGGCTCACCTAAGCACAGGCTGTCCTTTCTGTTCAAACACACTATTCTTTACAACCTGGAGAGACAAGTGAGATGGACTCTGGCCACAGCTCCTGCAGTGAGTGGAGCTGGCTCAGTTTGTGGCTGCCCTGTTGGGAGGTGGCCTCTGCCTTTGCGTTTTCTTCTGTGGCTGCCTAACAGTTATTCAGCTTCTGTTTCTGATCACCTCTGCTTCCATCATCCATATTCCCTTCAGTGATAAAAATCTAGTAGAAAGAAAAAACTCCACAGTCCCCACTGTCCTGTGACTTTGGCACTGACCTGGTCCCATCTTCCTGTCCTTTGGTTAGTGATCCATGGCAATTTATTGGCTAGTGGGAAGCAATCTAGGTTCTTTTAAAAGTTCTTCAGTCTCCCCAGATATGGGGCCTGGTGGGAGCTGAAAGAAGGAAGGGATAACCCCAAATCATTAATGTGAGATTGAGAAAAAGAGCACACAGAGGCTCATGGTTTGATGTTGGTATTTAGAGTGATTGCCTATAAAGAAGTGATATGAAAGGTCAGCCTGTCTAGAGGACTGCTCTGAGAAGCAAGAACAGTTATTACAGAGAGCTCCCAGATATAAATGTTTTTATCCAAGTATTTGGGACAAGAAAGGACAATGATCCATCAGGTCAGGCTGTTTTTAACTGTTCACAAGGGTTATGCTTTTAATGGCAACCAGTTTAAGCTTGACTATGACAAGATCTTAATCTAGTTTTAATTGGTTTTGTCCCATCAGCACCCACAGATTCACACTTGCTGAGAACCTGGCCCCGAGCCCTGATAGGAAAAAAATGTGTGCCTGTGAACATCCCCAACACCCAGAGAATTATCTATAGAGTGACTTTAATACACTGTACAGGGAGGTAAGGAAAAGAGGGCTTGTGAAGCTCATTGGTGTTTGTTCTCTGCTGTGTGAACATTAAATATGAAATACTTCTTAGTCTGCTGCTAACTCATCTGTGACTTGATGTATTGAGACATGTGGCAGTAGTGGGAGCTGGTGACCAGACAGGATGATCAGATCTGTCTGCTGGTGGCTACCACAATTAGGACAAGCTAAATTGATGACTTGTAGAGTGATAGATTCAGAGCACAACCAAAGAACCTCACTGCATCCCTCTGCTGGTTGAGCTGACTGGAGCCAGTCCCTTAGCGAATGGAACGAGCAAAGTGGGATTTTATAGGCTGGAGTTGATGATCTTAAAGGTCTTTTCCAGCCTTGGTGATTCTGTGTGTGACTATGGTTTGAAGCTGGAGATGTAGCAGAGTGCTGAGTGCCCATGGTCCTGCTCTCCATGGGTGACCTCCTCGAGAAAGCACCAACAGCAGGGAGTTTTGCTTTGTCTCTGGCAAGCTGTGGGCATCCTTGAGTTTACATCACCCCTGTCTCCCCCAAAGCTCAGACTTGAGTAAGTTTTAAATTTTTTTGCTCTGGTGGATTATCTGGTGTGGAATCCTGATCCCTGTAATAAATATTCAGATGATAATATATACAAAGCAGAAAAAATACCTGTTATCTTGTGAAATATACTTTTGTAAATAATATTTAATTTTTTTAAAAGAATAATATATTTGGTGCTGTTTTCTCAGAGCCCCTCCCTGAGAGCACTTTTTTTGTTGTTGATAAATGATACTGTTTCCTTCTGTATTTGTTGGAAAGTATGTTCAAAGGGAAACAAAAATCATGATATACATTGTCCTCTTAAGTCAATCCATTTTTCCTCTGGATGTGGCAGGAGAAGGGGGGTCGCTCCCACTTCCACCCGGCAGAATTGGTCTCTGGCAAAGGTGGTGGCTGAGTGGTCCAGGCAGGTCCTGGTGTGTGGGACAGGAGATGGCTCCAGGCAGTCAGGGAGTGCTCTGCTGTCTGGAATTTCAGCATGGAACACTTTCATTTGGCACCAGAGGTCCCATCTGGCCGCCTGGGCCCCGTGTCGACTCGTGCTCCCACAGCGAGTCCCACGAAAGCCAGTGGGGCTCCATCTGGGGATGGCTTTCCTGAGGAGATCTGGTTTGTAGGATCTGGGCCTGAAATTTTCTCTTGCACCAGTATTGGCTGGAGTGAAGTAGATATCCAGACTTAGAAAACAGGATTGAACATCAGCTGCAACCTCTGATTGCTGTTTCCAGTTGCTTGGGGGCAGCAGGGATGGAGGATGGAGATTTCTGACTAGTCCTTGTTTTTAAACTAAAACATAAATCTTTGGACATGGATCCTGGTTTTATTTGTTTGGGATTTTTGTTTGTTTGTTTTGTTGGTTGGTTGTGTGTTGTTGTTTTTTTAATCAGGCTGCTACATAACAAATTAGAGTAAAAGTTTACCTCTCTGGCAGTGAAGTTTTTTTTTCTTTTGTTTGTTTTCCTTTCTGTCTTTAACTTCCCCCCTTCGTCCCCTCCTTCGTTTTTAATTCATTGGGTCTCTTGTTTCTCCCAAAGTGGACCAACAGCACAAACCACTGGACTGTGTTTTGCTGAGCATGGAGCTGTTTTCAGTGCTGATTAACTGTTGCAGGCTCTTTAATTCTCTGTTGTTGGTGCACAGGATTTAAAAATATACAGGTAAAAAAACCCAAACCAACCATACGAATGAAATCAGTTGTTCTTGTGATGATCAAGTGAGAATTCTCTCTGTGTGCATTTATCTAACTGGTATGTGAGAGTGTGTTAATCATGCGTTTCACTGCACTTTGGTGTTTTGGGAGGAGCATCATGTTCCCATGTGAACCAGTTCTTGGATGAGGAAGTGACACCCAGAACCCTGGGTGGGTAAAGAGATGGGCAAGAACCAGAGCTCAGCTCATTGCAAGGAGCCCTTCTCACCAGGTGAGGAGCCTCAGAAATTAAATGCTCAGAAACAATGACGTTAGGCATAGATTTTGCAGAATCCTGTTTAAAAAAAGCAAAAGAGGGGAAACAAAATCATCTTGAATTCAGAAAAAAAAAATCAACATACTGAAATGCAAGCAGAATGGCATTGTGTAAGGTACAACCACAAATAAGCTATTCTCATAGTTATGAACTGTATGTATCCTTTGTTCTGTTTTTCATAAGGAAATGGGAATGCTTTCCCCACTGACACAACTAAAGGACAATATTTCCAATACCAGCCTGTCTATTGATGCTCTTATGTTTACAAATTGTGTATACTTTTATTTCTTTGATCTTATTTTAATTATTATTATTTTTTTGCATATTCTTTCAGGTCATTTGCTTCAGTAATAAATGCAATTGTTTGTTTTCAAATAATTGTTTTTCACCTTTTCATGTATTTGTACATTGTACATAGTTCTTCAGTATTAGAGGGAGGTGTATTGTTTGTCATATTTACAATATGTGTTGGTGCTCATTTGAGAAAATAAAATTTTCAAGTACTAAAGCTGCTGGTCCATGTTACTGTTTTGATCTGCTATGCTTTGTGCAAACTGGAGGCAGCAAAATGTGGTTGTTCAAGAAATGTTACATTCAGCTTGAAAATAGTAAAATTGTCTTCTTTTCTGCTAGCTGCCAGCCTGGAGCAGTCACCTGCTATGCACTGAAATCCCCTCAGCACTTAGAGACTGTAGCCCCAGGCAAGGATCCCATCAGGAGAGCAAAAAGATGATCCTCAAGTCTAGGATTTGCTGCAAGAGGAAAGCCCAGATGGACCAGGAGAGACTGCTGACCTGCCAGGAACCATCGTACCATAACCCAGTGCCATTCCCTAAGCCAGACCAGCCAGGGAAGCATGCACCTTGTTTTGTGAGGAATTACATGATTTTAAGGTATTTTTCAAGTAGCAATAGCAAGAAACCCATGAAATAAAATCCCCTAATTCTCTTTCAGTCATCTCCCATGGGGAAGGGGTTTTGTCAGCCCCGTTATGTAGCGGTGCCCACAAAGCAGAGTAGATCAAAAAATCCCCAGAGGCCAGATAAGCCACCTTGGGTTTTGCAAGTTTTGCTTGTTAGTAGAATTCAGAGTAGCCCCAT